ATTCTTATCCCTTGTTATCAACCATAATTGATGAGTTTTTTTACCTCCGTCTTAGCAACATAACCATATTCTTCCAACTTGAGGTGAGGTGCTATAGAAAAGGCGCATATGAAGCACACACCTTAGGCTCAAGCTTGAGGCACACACCTCATGCACTTCATTTATATTTTTGCTCCATCCTTATTCTTTGCATGTAGCCACAGGGAATCACAGTGCCTTTAATATAAAATGTAAACACATGTTTCAACCTCAATTTTCATATCAAAAAAAAGAGCTAGGCATTGAGCAAAAGCTCTAGGATTGCAAGATATGGCTTTGGGATTCCTTTCAATGTAGTGCATTATGACCATTTCAATCCAATGATTGAACCTATCAGGCAACTTGGAATATTGAATTTTGTTCAATGTTTTTTGAAATTCTAGAAATAATCTCCTTACGATGAAAATTTTGCTTATCTTCTACAACGTGTGCCTCACCTTGGTGAGGCATGCGCCAAAAGCTTTTTAAAACACTGTTGGCACTTATGATGCATGGATACTTCTAGAAGGAAGTGGTATTCGTAACGGATACAAATACTGCTTGAATACACGCAGATACATATCCGATACTTCCTAAACGTATCCGATACTTTATATTAATTTTCTTTAATTTTGAGAAGTATCGAATACATCTTAGATACTCTAGATCACGTATCTGAATTATTATGATAGTGAGATTGCAATAATTTTTTCATAGTAATAAAGTATAATTGTTAGGATAAGTACAAGAATAACATCTCAACACTTTGCTTACAACTTGCATAAGAAAAGTAGTGAGATATATATCCATTTTAGTAAAGAGATGCAATGCAGTGACGGTGGATGAAAATGTTAGGAGATGGGATAGACCTAGATTGACATTGGGTAGCATAGTAAATCGAGACATAAATCTATTAAATTTGAATAACGGAATGGTCTTCGATAAAGTCGATTGGAGAAGAAGGATTCATGTAACTGACCCCATTTGATGGGACTTAAGGCTTGGCTTAGGCCTCGTTTGGCAAGTGACTTTTTTAGTTAAAAAGTCAAAAAGTCACTAAAAAATTCAAAAAGTCAACAACTCATATAAAAAAGTCAAAGATTCTCTTTTCTCTTTAGTTTTTGCACGTCTTTTCGTAAAAAGTCAAAAAGTGATCCTAAGCATACTAATTTTTTTTAGCTCATATTTTAACCAAATTGTCAAAAAGTTACTAAATTAGCATATTCCCAAACGAGGCCTTAGTTTGGTTTGGTTTGGTTATATATATTCATACCCATACTAAAACGAAGTAATACAAACAATAATAAATAATGATACACTAAAATTGGATTTCAATAGTTGAATAAGTAAACTTGCATACAATACTTTAGCATATAACACATTTAAGAATGAATGGGGAAGTGTACAATGGCAATAAAAAAGTGTACTTGATGTTGAAATCAAATTTTCATAGGATCTACTATAAAAGGAAAAAGTAGTTGGTCATTAGCCATTCTTTGAGCATGTTTATAAAATAATACTAAAAATTATTATTAAAAAAAATATTTACGAACATATCCTAGCCGTACCTATATCCTATTATTTAAGATTTTGTCGTATAGCCGTCTCCGTATCGTATCCTATATCCATGATTCATACATTGGCAGTCACCCCCTACATTGCAAGTCCAAACAGGAGGCTGCACTAGTAAGGACCCAGAGTAGACATTGTTGACAGGTTCTTAACCCAACTCATTTTGGCCAAGGGCCCTTTCTGTGAATGTAATTGTTGTTCTTAATTGGGCCCATAATATTTGTATGCATTTCCATTCGTATGAGTTGTGAGAATTACGCAGATGCGAGTCTTTCCCAGCATGAGAGAACCGGCACAATAGTTGATAACTCAAACCAAATTATTTTGGGCACACTTCAAGTATTTTCGATAGCTAGAAAAATGGTTTTTCGACCGAAGAACAAACATTTTAAATAATAATGAATCTGCCCAGATAAATAAAGTGTAGTATTTCTAGGTCATAAAGACCCCCTTTAACTTGATTAGAAACCCATTTTTGGCAAACCAGCATCCCATATAACGTTATAAAGGGTTGTGTGAAGTCCAGAGGCCATTCCTAAGTCGTCTTGCACCTCTTCTATTTAATTTTATCAAATGAGACAGATTAGAATACATTTCTCGACAAATATGGTTTTGTCAAGTTTTCTAACAAAAATAAACAAATAAAAGGTTGGCAAAGAAGCTAAATGATTAACGAGGTAAAACAATAATTTTTTGATAATAAATCATACGTAGGTTAATTAGATATTGCGCCGAATTAATCTTTAAAAATAGGGTGTGACACCAATGGTCCAAGTAGAACTCCCTACCATCCAAAACCCACCCCATTGACTGTGATATCCTCTTAGGTTTCACTTTGTAGGGGAGAACCCAAGAGCTCAAATATTCACTCTCCACCATTAAACCATAAAATCAGCTCAGAAGTATCATGCATGGCAATCCCCAAGGAACCAACCAAGCATTGAGGCACAACACTGGTTCCTCACACAGACTGCAAGAACTCCAAATCACAGTCTTGGGGACTCCGGCCCAAATGGTACCTTATACCTTGCCTATGTCAACTTGCCTCCAAATAGCTATACGCATGCAACAAAAAGGATGTGCAGACTCGGCTAAAAAATGTAAAAAAATTAGATACGAGTATGTGGCTACTACAAAAGGTATCAAACAATTACAAGTCTCTTCCTATTATGACTTTTTCTTCTTTTTCCTTTTTGTTGGTTTTTTCTTTTTTTTCCCTTTTTGTATCTAATGTTTTTTTGTTTTTCCTTGCAGCAGGATTTTGGTTTGTGCAGAATAAAAAAATGTTACATTAGTTTGGTAACATGAAGAATGGGCTAGCCAAAACGAACATGAGTTACAGAGTAAGCCCACTAACTATGTTCATTATCACTCTACTTTGGCTCAAACATATGGATAAAATTTGATATTTACTACATATAAATAAATGCGAAACCGCCCAAACATAACAGGACCCAAAAAACACATTGGCCTTTATTTTTAAAAAAACTCGTCAATCATAACTAGTAGATATATTTAATGATGGAAAAATTCAAGAAAAATAAAAAATAAGGGCTGAATCTGGACAGCAACTTATACAATACAGCATAGCAAAAGAGATAAGGTCCTTAAATGACCTGAAAAACTCATCTACTGTGCCTCTATTGATCTCTAGCTCTAGTGTCTTCAACAATAACAGACGAACGTACAGCATGACGAGACTGTTTTAGCATTTCTTTCTCCACAATCTACTCCGAACTGTGTTTCTTCTTCATTGATTTACTTAGAAAGTCATATCCTTGTGAAAAGGATCATGTCAAAGTCATATTCAGCACCCATGTCAATATTTGCCATAATTGTCAAATCGGGATTCGAATCGTGAATCGAAATGATATTGTACCGAATCGCAAATCGAATCATGAATCGTAAAGATTCGGTCACCTTTTTTAAATTACATAGAAAAACATATGTACACACTTAGATATTAAATATCTAATAAATATGAAACTTTTATACTTAAATCAATGAAAATATTGTTTTAAATGATGATCATATGGTCTGGGTTAGAAGTTAACACGGTTTTCCATGTTTATTACTTCACCTTTTCCTTTTTAGATACCATTTCTTATCAACCATTCTCAATAAAGAAAGCAAACAAAGACAAATTTTCAATTTCTATGCATCAATAACTCAAAAACTATGTTTTTAACTTTTTACAAGGTTAAAAAAAACCAAAATATTCAAATTTTTTCAAAAATCTTTTTTGATGCCTTAAAAAATTCATTTAGTAAATGCAAGTATTTAGATAAAATTGAATATGTAAGCCTAGAATACTGTAGAGAGAGAAAGTTCATTTTTTTGGGCTAAGGTTTGAGTATTTGAGAGTAAATAAGGACGGAAAAAGTCAAAAGATGGCATATAGTAATCCTAAAGACCATAAAAAAGTTTTGTGACCCATTTTCCAACAATAAAAAACCAAAAAAGAAAGTCAAACATCGATTTTAGCAAATTGAATCGATTCACGATTCACCGATTCGGTTCACCAATTCACTTACGATTCATAGCTATTTGCGATTCACACAACCTGTTCGTATCGATTATCCACCGAATCGAATCGAATCGTACGATTCGAATCGCGAATCATACGATACTAATAACAGAGATATTTTCCATAAAACGCCAAGTTTTTATAACACAATTCTTCATCAAACACAAGAAAAAAAACTCCTCTATCGTCCTAGTTACCCAATACTATAGTATACACCATACAACAAAAATGCCAGTTGCAGCCCCAAATGGGCCCCACCCATCTCCCACCCCAATACCCTCACTTCCTCAAAACCTTCTGCACACAATCTAAGGAATTAGTTGAAAGCCTTGATTCTTTGCAATACCCCACTCAGACACATCCTCCTCCCCAGCACTTCCATCTTACACACTGATCCAATAACAAACAGTATCTTAGGCCGGGGGGGAAACAACATTGCAACCGGAGAGCAAACCATGGGTTCCAAAAACTCAAGCCCTATACCCTCACAAAAGTAAGCGTCCAAAACCATAAAATAAGTCAAACATATCCCAGCATAAGACGTCCCCTACTCCTTTTCCTACCATCCAAGCTGCATTCAAAACTTCAAATAGGCCAAACTGATCAAAGCCCAACATTTCATGTGTCAATGCCAGACTTCAAATCTCTCATCAATATGTCAAATCAGTGGCTCCTAAGTTGAAAAGCATGCGCAAAATGTTGCAAAGTAGATGTTTTGGACAGAGTAAGTCTCCTGAAATTTTCCTTGTCCTCAAAGATGTACTGGTTACAGTTTCATGTGGTTTGATATTTTCGCAGCCAGAAGAAACAGCATAATTCAGGCAACATATATGCATATAAAAAATAAAATAAATAAAAACTCAGTGTAATTAAACAAAATAACCTCATTTTCACTGGCAGTAGACACGACCAGAGATGAGTAGATGTCCATTACTGAGGAACAAAATTTGGCATAATCGACAAGAGATTCTTCAGTTTTGAGGAATATATTAGCAAATTGACGCCAGTTAGCTGGGGGATATCGATGACAAAATGATGCTATTCCAGAAGGAAGCTGTAGAGTCAACTTATCCATCTGTCTCAAGTTCAATTCTGAAACCAAAAAACAAAAAAAATATATATATATATATAATTTTATTTTATTTTTTTAATATATTGGTAAGACACTAACAAAAGAAGATGTGGTAACAAACTGCATGAAAACCCCAAATGATGTAAACACACATTATGAGCAGACAGACACAAACGAAATCAAACTAGTTCGTTTAACTACAACTGGTGCTGGGTAGAATTAGGATAAGTGAAACCATAAGTCTCAAAGGGTTATTAATGATTATATATATATATACACACACAGATAACAACAAATAAATAAAAAATGGGACGAGTTTGTTCCGTGAGGACGAGACAACTAGACCTCTAAACTGCCCTGAAGCGTTCCAGGAGCCGTGAGGAGGAGACAATTTAGACCGCTCTGCTCTCTCTCTCTCTCTCTCTCTCTCTCTCTTCAAGCGCCACCGAAACCCGCTCAGCTCTGGCTCTACGCAACCCTAGTTCTTTTTTCTAACCGAACAATTTTAAAAACCAAGGTAAGGTTGCGATTGAGGGGTGGTTTGGTAAACAAGTATAGTTTTCGATTTTTTATAAAAAAAAATTGGTACAAAAGTTGATAAAGTGATTAAAAAAATAGTGAGAATATATTGATTGATGTAACTTAAACAAATGTGTATATCTAAAAAAAATACATTTTTTTAATACATGTCAAACACCTATTGATTTTGTTTTGCATTTGCTTTTGTTTTGTGGTAATATAGGGCCCGCCAAGCATAAAATGTACCTTAGAGGAACTTCAACATTTCCAGGGTACCCAAGACTTCTCAATCGAAGATCCTGGCCATGCAGAAAATTTTTGCTCAGAGATCAACTTAATAAATGGAGTAAATTTGCTAATAATCCTCTATTAGCGTATAATGGAAACTATGGTCATCTAGATTGTGAAGATAGAAATCTGAAGATATACTGTAACTTAGCCATTCCAGGTTATCCCTTCAGCAGAGAAACATTTATAGATGAAAGTTGGTATCCCAACTATCAGCATAGTGTCTCTCATGATTCACCAATATTAGAAGAAGAAAATAACCAATGGGAGAATGAACTAAATAATGGAGACGATTTTTATTATCAACTCTCAGCAGTAGATCTTGAAGACCTTTCAGATAGAATGTATGGGTGAAAAAAAAAATGTTTTTTAAATATTTTAAAAAATAAACTCAAAAAATTTCAAAATACAACTTAAAATTTTTTCAAAAACTCAAAACACAACTCTATGTGTCTATACTCCTAAATCAATTATATTCACCATTTCTTTCATGTTCAGGAAATTCTATGCTCACATGCCATTTCATCTCTATGCACACACTTTATAAAAAATAAAAATTAATGACAATTTTAAGCAAAATGGCCATAATGAACTTCAAAACATGATCTAAATATGAATTTCAAGTTTTCTCTGTTCACATTTTTTTAAAACAATAATTTTCAGTACACATCTTTTGAAAAAAAATAAAAATAAATAAATAAAATAACTAAAACCTGCTTTCTCCATGGTTTCTCACTTCCTCCATTAGAATTAAACTTACTTTGTTCTACACTCATTAATCATGAACTGGGTTTTGAGAACCATGATGCATTCAATGAGCTTTTTTCTCAGAGGTGATTTGTGGGTCGGCCGAAATGGGCTAAAATTTGAAGTTTTGAGACAGAAAATGGTAGGTATAGAAAAAATTTGGAGTTGGCCGTGTTCAACTTGTAAGGGTTTTCTTTTTCCATGTTTTGGGAGAGAAAATTGAAAGGGAAGAGAAGAATTGAGATTTAGTTGGGATTGTAAGTTAAATAGAAAGATGAGAGTGAAAGAAACAGAGTGTGTTTACACGTTATTTACCTTCAACAATGCAATGGAGCTCAATGTAGGTCTTCAATAGAGTTTTTGCTAAAAGATGGGTCTTCACCATGGGTCTTAAATGGAGTTGCCAGAATATGAGTCTTCACAGTGGGTGGGTGGCTAGGTGGCTGGGTTTCAAAGTGGGTGGAAAAATCATATTTAGGTGGTGTGTATACAAGATTTGAGTTTGGGTTATAATTAGTTATGAAATGAGAATAATAATATCTAACCAAATTCATAAGTGTGTGAACTAAGATATGATGTTTATAGAAATGAATGATAGAGTGTGTGGAAATAAAATTTATCCTCATATTTCTCGATCACCCAACACAAATCATAATATCTCACTTTATCCACCAATCATAATACTAAGGACCACCACATGACTGTACTTCCGGACCACCAAATAATCACACATGAAATGATCCTGGAATTAAATGTTTCTTTTATATTTGTTGAAATTAATTTTAAAATAAAACAAAACTAATAATAAAAATTAAGTACTAAATTAAAATAAATTGTTAGATATATAATAATGTAAAATCTAAAATAAAATTTTCATCATTAGTCATTTCTTTTAATTTATTAGTGATAGGGCACGAGTGATGCAAGTGAAAAAATTATCTTTAACTTTCAAAGATGAGTTTGGTTTGAATAAAAATGATAGAAAGTGAAAGAAATCAAAAACAATTATTATTTTCTAAATTTAATTACTATAAAAGTTTTGTAGTGGTGGAAGGAGGGACAAAGCCATAAATTTATTTTAGGAGGAGCCAAAATAAGTATTGCAAAAGGAAGATTTTAAATAATTGGGATCATCTTATATGTATTATAAAAATACTTATGCAATATAAGGACTAATAGAATAATTTTTCAAAAACTAAGTGATTATTTTCTATATAATATAAAATGATTCATAACACTTTTTTTTTTTTTTTTGTTACAAGAAAATCCTCCATACTCTCCCGCAGGTCCAAGGCAACGCCCCTTTGTAGAGATCACCAAGGTGTCCTGTTAGCCATTTCGAACGAGGAGACTATAACCTGGGAACTTGCCCCGACCTCTCAAGACAAGCTTCGCTTAAGTCAAGACTCGCACAACGGGGGAGCATTGAACCCACACCAAGTGCTGGTTAAACAACTTGAGGTCCAACCTCCTAACCAACTGTGCTTGTAATGCCCTCAAAATAAACCCATAAATCATGCATTCGCGACATCCATAAACATAAGAGAAATAAACATATTTCTATTCATCAGAGTATTTAGTCCAAAAGTATTACATGTTGACAACAAAAGTAAATGCCCTACGGGCTTACAACTTTCCGAGTCAACACTTGGTTACAAAAAGAGAGTACTAACTCTACAGAAAATAAGCCCTTAGCTTGATATACATGTAATACAACAAAAACAACAAAAATAGTCCAACAGCCTCAAGCCTTCCAAGCTACGTCCTTGGAGGTGGCATAATACCTGCACCTGAAAATGATGTCCCATATAGGGTAAGCCAACGCCCAGTAGAGATATGCTAAACATAATATGAGTAATAATTAAAACATTAGCATTTGATAAATATTTAACTCACATAAATCAATTCATAACCCATTTCAAGTACATGACAAAAGTGTCCATGTTTCATTTCATTTTCCATTTCTTATCCAATATCTCAGTTCATAACCCTGGCTCAGAACCTAGCCATATACTTTAAACAAGATTACATCTCATATCAATAATTCTTCCATTTAACAATTCAAATGAGTTAACAACTCATATCAAAACACTTCCATAAGTCTCAATAGATACACATATTTGCTGTGTCAATAACACATAAAAACACTTCCATACTTCACAAATGATACACAGATTTGCTGTATCAACATTTCAATAGATACACATATTTGCTGTATCAATGGAGTCCATCCTCTATCTCCTCCCAAATAATATCCGGTTTAGGAGTCCATCCCCTATCTCCTCCCAAACAAAATTCAACATTTCAATAGATACACATATTTGCTGTATCAATGGAGTCCATCCCCTATCTCCTTCCAAAAATCCGGTTTAGGAGTCCATCCGTTATCTTCCCCTAAACCGTGGAGTGCATCCCCTATCTCCTCCCACACAACACAATGTATATAAGCACATATCATATACATGATCATTCAATGCACAAACTTGATGTATTCTACCAACTGTCATATTCTATGACATATCCAATTGATTAGTTTTAGTTTACCTAATCATCATGCATTGTCTACAACAATCAAAACTACCATCCACGGGTAGCCCAAGCAATTATTTCTAAACAGATAATAAAAGCTCCCACAGATAAAATATCAATGTTTTCAAAAGTGAGCGATTAATAAATCCAACTCTACCATTCTATCTCATAATGAGCCAATTTCATCATTTCCAACTCAATTTCATATTTCTATGACTTTCCAAATTAATTATACAAATTAATTTATAACAACAAATTAGGGCTTTTTTCCCCTTGTTCTCAATATTGACCCAAAGGCTCAAAATATCTTCAATAACATCAATACCCTCATGTTATGACCCAAAATACACAAATGTGGGTCAAAATAACAAAACCCCTCTTTATAACTTTTGAAACCCTAATACCCAAATTTTACCCAACATCCACATTAAATCAAAATGACCAAAAGCTTATGTCAAAGATCATATACATGAGTAGTTATCCCTACCTCAAATTCGGAGCTCAAAGGAAGAAGATGAAGAAATTTGAAGTGCTCCAAACCCCAATATTTTCGAATCAAAATGTAGCCCTCAACAAGCTTCACACCTTTTACAAAGGCCCAAGGTTAGAAGATCACTCCTACTATATCAAACCCTAGAGAGAAGTTGGAGTTTTAGAGTGAGGTGTTCTCCAATGGAGGTTTTGAAAAATTAAGAGAGAGAAAGAAAATCAAAAAGTGATCCAAAAAGGTGAAACTCGGACTGATATAAAAGTCTCCCCGCTCGAAGTGAAAACCATTTGCTCCCAATCACACCCAACCTGTAACAAACCTGCCCAACACATCCTATAACTCAAACACAAAGTATTGAAGGACGGAAACAAGATATAAACAACAATCAACACCACGGAACCTAAGTCTGGAATACTGTACATAAAGGGGAAAACCTGGGATCGCTATAAAGGAAGTTGGGAAACTCATTTGCCATTAACATAATTTACTTACAACAACAGTTTCCAAGCTAGCATCTGCATGGTGCCTTATGAAGCATTGTATGGAAAGAAATGTAGATCACCTATTTACTAGACTAAGGTAGGAGACAAAGAGCTATTGGGGCTAGAAATTGTAGAAGTTACCATTGATAAAATCAAGATCATTCAACAATGACTCAAGACTGCACAAAGCCGTCAAAAAATCTATGCAGATTTGCGGAGAAGAGAT